AAAGAATTTTCACAGTGAGTAGATCCATGTACCAGTAACCCAGACCAAGAAAGAACATTCTGAGAGGCTCCCCCACCCAACTCCAGGGTGGCTACTGTCCAGAATTCTAGTAGCATAGAATAATTTTGCCTATTTTTATACTTCTGTGTCAGATTTCTTTTGTTTAACATTATGTTTTGTGAGACTAATCAATAATGCTGCTGGAATAACAGTTACTTCCTCATGGTCTAGTCCATGTTCATTGTAATGTTTTGATGCTCTAAACCATTCACATACACATAAAATGTAATTATTAGGATGAACACAGCATATTCAACTTAAACAGTGATTTAGTTGTGGTTGTAGCAGACTTTTTTTTTAAGATTATTTATTTATTCATGAGACACACACACACACAGAGAGAGAGAGAGAGAGAGAGAGAGAGGGAGGAGGCAGAGACATAGGCAGAGGGAGAAGCAGGCTCCATGTAGGGAGCCCAATGCGGGACTTGATCTGGGTCCCCAGGATCACAACCTGAGCCAAAGGCAGATGCTCAACTGCTGAGCCAGCCAGGCAATCCGGTAGCAGACTTTATAGTTTGACTTGATGTTAAATATAAATTTTTGAAAGCTGACATACATCATTTAAGTATTTCCTATGTTTTAGTGGAAGCCTTGTGCTGTATCAAGTGTTTTTCTCTGGGGCTAGGCTTCTTACAGGCTAAAGCTTTAGGGGAATTTCGTTCTCTCCCTCCAGGCTAGTAAGGGGTCTCCTTTACCTATAGGTAATGGACTTTCTTCATAGAATTTATTGAAAAGCAACCTGAGAAAGGGAAGGAGTACTTGAACAGCTGCAGGACACATTTTCTGTCTTTAATCTGGACTTTTCTCTGCTTATTGACTTCACTCTGCAAGCTGGCTTTCTCCAAACAGTGACACATATGGCAGCCATGTATTCCTCAGTGTTACAACTTGTAAATCCTGAGAGGTAATGAAATTATTTTTTTTTTCAGTTATAATTAAAAAAAACAATCCCAGGTATCTACCTTTAACCTGCCAGCTGTGATCAGGACAGGGAAGAAGATACTAAGACTGGTCATGCTTGGACCTGTCTCTGGGTGCTCAGCTGTGTTGAACCATAGGTCCTTCTAGAGTCACATGGTGAGAAAAGGATGCTTTTCCTACACAAAGTGTACTGCTGGGAAGACCAAACACTAGACATCTACAGCCTGCTTTATACTCTGAAGGCTAGGGAAAGCCTAGACATCATTTTATCAAAGCTATTTAGAATTTTGAAACAAATTTTACTGACTGGCGGCTAGACATTGACTATAATAGGGTCCCTGGAGTTATTTGAAGTTTTAGTCTATACTAATTCTGAACAGCTTCCATTTGGTACTTTGAAATTTCTCATTCCTTCCCATCCCTACCATATTTAGCTAGACCCAAAAATGTTAGTTACTCTCTCCTATAAGAGTGGTTTTCAACTTTTTCAAAGTAGGAAGCTGGGAAGAGGATTGGGAGATGAAAAAAATGAGTGAAGGGGAGTGAGACATGCAGTCTTCCAGTTAGGGAATGAATGAGTCACAGGAATAAAAGACAAAGCATAGGGAATAGAGTTAATAGTATTGTAGTAGCATTGTGTGGTGACAGATGGCAGCTATACCTATGCTGAGCACAACATAAAGTATTGAGATGTGAAATCACTATGTTGTACACCTGAAATTAATGTAACATGTATCAACTGTACTCAATTTTTTTTAAAAAAGTAGGAAGATTGTATTTTTTTTAAAAGATTTTATTTATTTATTCATGAAAGACACACAGAGAGAGGCAGAGACACAGGCAGGAGAAGCAGGGTCCCTGCAGGGAGCCTGATGTGAACCTTGATCCCAGGCCTCTGGGATCACTCCTGAGCTGAAGGCAGACGCTCAACCACTGATACACCCAGGCATCCCAGATTATGATATTTGTAAATAAAAAATTACAAATCCCACAAATAAAGCAATAGTAGGTATATATGAATCCATAAAAATGTAATGAAAGTATTACAAAAGCACAGACTAAAGGATTGCCAAGTTCATGATTGTGGTGACCTCTGGGCAAGGAATATGGGGAATGGGATTGGAAATAAAGGTTTCAACTTTGTTTTCTTTCTTTCTTCTTTCTTTCTTCTTCTTCTTCTTCTTCTTCTTCTCTTTCTTTCTTCTTCTTCTTCTCTCTTTCTTCTTCTCTCTTTCTCTCTTTCTCTCTCTCTTCTCTCTCTCTTTCTTTTCTTTCTTTAAGATTTTATTTATTTTTTTTTAAAATTTTTTATTTATTTATGATAGTTCCACACACACACACACACACACACAGAGAGAGAGAGAGAGAGAGAGAGAGGCAGAGACACAGGCAGAGGAAGAAGCAGGCTCCATGCACCGGGAGCCCGACGTGGGATTCGATCCCGGGTCTCCAGGATCGCGCCCTGGGCCAAAGGCAGGCGCCAAACCGCTGCGCCACCCAGGGATCCCTAAGTTTTTATTTTATTTATTCATGAGAGAGACACAGAGAGAGGCAGACACACAGGCAGAGGGAGAAGCAGGCTCCATGCAGGGAGCCTGATGTGGGACTCAATCCCCGGACCAGGGATCAGGCCCTTGAGCTGAAGGCAGACGCTCAACCCCTGAGCCACCCAAGTGTTCCTGTTACTTTCATTTCTAAGATAACTGTGGGGCAGATATGATAGTATGTCGTGTGTGGCATGAATGTATGTGAGGTTTTTTTTTTCCTCTCAATTTATTGAAAAAACATCTAAATAAAAAGAACTGCTCAAGATTCAGCCGACGTTGGCTGTCTGGCAGGTCTCTTCCAACCTGAGGAGGCAGCACAGTACCCTTACAGAGCATGCCGGCTGGGGAGCCTGCCTGCCTGGGCTTTTGTTCCAGATCCTGATACCACAGCCTACTATCTTGAGGATATTATTTCATCTCTACCAGCTTCAGTTTCCCCATTTGTAAAGTGCTACAAAAATTGCTTCTTGTGTTATCAAAATTTCTACCTCACTTATTATGGTTTTAAAAAGTTAATACAAATAAAATGTTTAGACTATCATCTGGCACATAGTAAGCAGTCAATAATAAATATTTGCTTTTATTCATTGTATTATTAATAGGGGTAGAAATGACTTCTAATCATGGGTATGCTATTTTATTTTTAAACACATCTCATTTAAACTTGATAAGGTAAATATTTTATCACAGGTGAGGAAAATGAGAACCAGGGAAGTTAAGTAACTTGATTAAACATCAACAGGGACCAAATGATTGAGTTGGATTAGGACTAAAGCCTTGGAATTTCAGAGCCCCCATTTTTAACCTCTGCATTTCATTGCCACCAACAATTGAATTCTTATCTTTCTTAAACAACTTCCACAGAAATCAGAAAAAAAAAACTACATTGTCTAAAATTTGCTAAATGTACCTAAATGACAGTATGATTTAGAATTGGGAACATAAGTAAGCAAAACAGACTTAAAAATTTTAGCATTATCATACACCATATATTAGAGTATCTGCTTTGTGCTAGAGACCATGGTAAGTGTTAGAAACTTTATTACTCTCAATTCTTGGACAACCCTGCATAGTAGGCATTCTGTTTCTCTTTTAGAAATGAGGGATCAGTCTGATATTATGTAACTTGTGCAGGGTCCTGTAACTGCTAAGTGGAGTTCCAGACCTTGACTGCCATTACACCATAGCCCACACATTTTTTTTATCAAGTTGCTTCAGCTTTCTCTCAGCATCAGTGACTATAATTTACTGGTTATATATATATATATGTATATATATATGTATATATATACATACACACACACATATATATATATATTAATATATATATATATCTTCCCCCCTCCTCCTCTCCCCGGCCCCCATATCTGCTGAGCTTTAGTCATCTGGTCCTATTGCTGTCTCCTTATAGTTTATAAAAATCAAAGGCAAACAGCCTGTAAAACATTTAAGCAAGGGTAACTTTGTGAAACTAAGCAATGTAAACCATTTTTGTAATAATGTAAAATGTAATTCCTAAATTTTGCCAACTTATTTTTTCCAAGGAGAAAAATATGCCTTGGGCTGGCCTATTAAAATGTAGTAAACATAAACAGTAAGATTAAAATTTTTCTATTTTGTCTTGGTAGACTGCCCACATTTAACAGTAAAATTGCTAGCATTTTGTTTTTGTTTTTTAAAGATTTTATTTATTTATTCATGAGAGACACACACACATAGATTTTATTTATCTATTAATGAGAGAGGCAGAGACATAGGAAGAGGGAGGAGAAGCAGGCTCCATGCAGAGAGCCTGATGCAGGACTTGATCCCGGGACTCTGGGACCACGCCCTGAGTCAAAGGCAGATGCTCAATGTCTGAGCCACCCAGGGTTCCCAGCATTTTGTTTCTTATAGACTGTGCTAGTGGGTTATTTGCTGGAAACTGAGGATTTTTAGGGCCTTTTCCTGTCCTGGAGAGACATGTGCTATATGTGTGTATCAGCCACCTTGTCTGTACTTGTCTCAGTGTGAAATTCAGATTTTCCTGTTTTGAGTTGATCTAAAAACATTGTTATGACACATTACTTTTTGTGGTTCATCACTTTTAGTAGTTCTATGCATTATTATAGTTCAAAACCATATATGTGGGGGTGCCTGGATGGTGTGATTGGTTAAGCATCAGACTCTTGGTTTCAGCTCAGGTTGTGATCTCAGGGTTGTGAAATCAAGGCCCACATTGGGCTCTGGGCTCACTGTGAAGTCTGCTTGAGATTCTCTCTCCTTCTTCCTCTGCTGCTCCCACTTGTATGCTCTTTTTCTTTATCTAAAATAAATGAATAAATCTTCTTTAAGAAAAACAAATATATGTATGCATATGATATAGAGATGGAGGTATCCTAACAGTAAAATAGTGAATCATTATGAATACAATATCACTGAGCATCCAAGTGGTGTGATGGGAAGTGACCAAGTCTTCATCTTTCACCAGGTGATCAGACTCTGAGAATTTGGGATGTGAAGTCAACAGGAGTCAGAATTGTGGTTCCAGCACATCAGGCAGAAATTTTGAGCTGTGACTGGTGTAAATACAATGAGGTATCCTGTCTGGATCTGTCCTGAGCTACTGAGCCCTTCCTATTGTTGAAATGTTCTAGATTTTATTTTCTTTTCATTTATGTGGACTTTGGTAATGTTTATGGACCATTATGTTAAATTCAGTCCTTTTCATTTCTAATTGATGATTGTGAGTGACCTGTATTAGCATTAATTGGATTTAAGTGCACATAAAACAGGCAGAGTAAGAAATAGAAATTCTCAAAGTTCAACAGTGCAGCCTTACTTACTTATTTGGGAAGCTGCTTTACAATTTATGTGATTTTTTTCCCTTATTCCTCTTAACCCCACCAATTTGTGTCCTCTTCTTTCATTTCCCATTCATTTTGCTGGTTAGTCTCCTGAACACTTTGTAACTTGCTTTTCAGTTTGACAGTCTACCAGTTTTTAAAATTTTATTTCATCTTCCAACAAACTCCATGCTCCTGTAAGTTAAGTGTCACTTTGTACCTTTTTGCAAAGCTTCTGTTAACCACAGGAGCATATGAATTCAGAATAGAAATGGATTAAACATGTGTTGATATAGTGTCTATATACCTGCAGTGGTCTGTTGGCTGGGACAGACACATATGCCTTTTTTCTTGTCAGTTTTAATTACCTAATGGAAGTTAAGAGAGCATTATATTGGCAGAAGTCTTTGAAACGAAATAAAATAGATTAAAAGAAAAGAGTACATTTTCAGTTATGATACTTGATCTAAATAACAGTTTCAGAACTAATGACTGCAGTTCAAATCTCTGTCATTATAAATGAGTTTTCCATATAGAAAATGAATTGTGGACTATGTGTTATACTTTTGGGAATTCTAAAAAAGATGCTGATATGTGGTTGAGAGTTGTTAAAATTGTTTTTGTTTTAAATTATTGGAATTTTTCCTCAAATGAGCTTACCATGAAATGCAGCACATCCAGACAATCAGTTACTGCTCTGGTTGACATGGAATGGGACTGACTGTGTACCCAGCACTTGGCCTCTTCAGCCGGGAACTGCAGATTCACCGAGGGCTCTAGATAGATTTGTAAAGCCTGAATAGATAGGAGACTCACCACTACTGCAGAGCTTCTCAGATATGATTAGATACTGTATAAAGACATGGCCCATGAGAGTGGGGAACAATGATTGGATTAGATTTAGAAAAACATGAAAATCAAATCTGTACCCTTTGCTTTCCCTCAATATTCCTCAGTTAACAGGTCTATTGCCTTCTAAGGCCTGGTAAAGCCTCAGAATACCCTGAAGAGAAGGGTGAGCTTATTTGTCAGACATCATTTTTAAACCCCTATGTACTTACTGATACTACTAAAGGTAGGTTGGAGAATCCACAATGCCATTTGATACTAGGCTTTGTTCTGATATGTTCAATGCTCTCTTTTCCCTGGTTCGTTTTGCAGAATCTGCTGGTGACGGGGGCAGTTGATTGTAGTTTGAGAGGCTGGGACCTGAGGAATGTACGGCAACCCGTGTTTGAACTTCTTGGTCATACCTATGCTATTAGGAGAGTGAAAGTAAGTGTTTATTTTTTCTTTTTATATATATAGTGTAAATATAATCAGTGAAGTACATAGAAAACACAGTTAGGGGTTGGGATTATTGATTCTTTTTATGCATATCTCCATTAGCCAATTAATGGTGATGAACAATGAAAGCTAAAATTAGGTAAAATATTTTAATAATTATTGAATGAATTGGGACAATATAGTTGATTGGTACCAGTGATTAAATAGAAATGTTTTTTCATTCTGTCATTTCCATGCTACTATTCCTTTTCATATTTTTATCTATGGTAATTTACTTTTGGTATTCTTCATAATTTTGCATTCAGTGGGAAGGTCTCTTTGTTGAAACTTACAGAAAGGTTTCTTCTTCTCTAACACAATAATAAATATGAATGTTCACAAAAATTTGGGGTATTGAAAATTTTCCACTCTGCCAACAGCAGAAGACGAGATAAAGATAACTTTTTTCTACTGCTCCCGAGAAATGTGCCTGGTTATAAGGGGACTTATGTTAGCTTCCTGGCTTTTAGTGGTAGGTTTTGCTAAGTCACTGTGGAAAACATCTTATTAAATGACATCTCCCAATCTCATTCTTTGTTTTATTACACTAAGGGTCAAGAAGTACTTTATTGATCTTTTAAACAAGATAATTGGATTATTCCCATTTCAAAAACTCTAAATTTAAATTAAATTAATACTTTAAATTTTACAGGTCTCAATTGAAAGTATAAGACCCAGTGCCATGTTGTCATTTTTAATGGCACACAGGTTTTAGTAGTTGAAAAATATTTTCAATATTTATTTCACAGTGCTTTTGAGAATGAAATTGGGTAATTTACTGAAAGTGTTTTATAAACTATAAAGCATATTCAAATGTAGTAAAATTTATGTTATATAGCTATTAAAGTACTGGGAAGAAGAAAAACTGAAGAAATATAATTGTAAAGGACAGCTTATTAAAGTATGTTGATTACTTATCTAAAAGATATTAGTCTTTAAATTTTTAGTTTTTGTCCTTGATGTCCTTTTTGTTAGTTGTGATATGCAAATAGCATAAAAATTCTTTTAAAGATGTTTTTATTTAACATGTAGATAATGATTTGATATACGTGCATAGAGTCATAAGATGTATTCATAAAATTGGTAAATTATATAATTATGTATTTGTATGATGACATACTTAAGTCCCTTATATTTGTTTGAGTCATTTTTAGATAGCAATTAGGAAATTGTATTTATTTTTTCCAGAATAGCAACTCTTTGGGAATATTTTATCCTAAATAAGTGCTAAAAAGCTTGAGGAATGACTTTTCTTTGGAGAATTATAAAAGTGAATGTTTTTCCTGCAGCTGATACTAAAAGGCAAGAAGATTCTTGCCTTGAATTAAAGCATATAAGGTTCGGGGAAACGTAATTTTAAGTGACGGTTTTGATTAAACTTTATTGTGGCGCTCCTGGGAATGACCTCATGAAGTAGCATGGTATAATTATAGCTAACTTAAAAAAGTTTTGTTTTGTTTTTATAGTTTTCACCATTTCATGCTTCCGTTCTGGCCTCTTGCTCCTATGATTTTACTGTAAGGTACAGTAGTTTTTGATAAGTTTCATTGTGAAATACCAAGTGGCATTTGTATCTTTTCAATTTTTATGAAAGATAATATATTTATTGTACTAATATGGAAATAATCTGAGCTGGGCACATTTGAATATTTGCCACTAGTATTAATATTATATTTGTTCTGTTTTTATGATCTGACCACATACACAAATTCTTTGCTATTTAAAGACAGCCTGGCTGTTCTGTTTAAAAGCCTTTTTTTCCTGATAATTATTCCTGTAGTAACATCTTTCTACACAACAGGCTGCATAAATAATATCTTAAATTTAGATTTTAAAAATTGCAAAATTCCATTTCTTCAGGTCTGATTATATGAATCTTAAGGCTGATGTTGTTATAGTTGAAAAAAATCAGCAAGGGTATATGTATGTTTGTGAATATATATAGGTGAGTGTATATATCTGTGTGAGCACATCCACATCTATGTATGAATATGTGTGTGTGTGTGTCTAGCCATATATCCCAGTTCCAGTTCCACACTATGCAAGATTTATTCTGTTTTTTCTTCTTTTCCAGATATGTAACTCCTAATTCCCATTATCCACAATACATTGACTTTTTGCAAACCCTAGAAAGCTCAAAGTTGTTTCAGAATTGCAAAACTGTGCCTCTGTGAAACAGAACTGTATTAGAGTTCACATTTTAGAACTTTTTTCCCCTAGTCCAAACACTGTGTTTAAAGGTTATTTAGGTTAATTCTGCTCCCCTCCATCAATGTGGCTATGTCATTCATTGGAAATACAGTTTGATTAATTTGTTTCTGTTTGTATTCAATTTTAGGATTTCATGCCATCCTAGTTGATTTTGTCTATTTTTCTGAGCAGACAAAATAGTAACATGGTTCCAAAGTCAAGATGTATGTAAAGGTATATTCAGAAAGGTCTGTTTCCTCTATTCTTTCCAACCCATTCTGTAGGGTCCCATACCCTGTAATAATCAATTTTGCTCTTAATGTTATTAAGAAAGTCACAAGGAAAAGAAAATACATTTACAGTACTGTATGTATATTGAAAAAAATTGCCTGTAAGCAGACCCACACAGTTCAAATTTGTGTTGTTCAGGGGCTATATAATAGTTTATATTATATAGTTTTTATAAAACTATATGTATAGTTTTTATATAATATATAGTTAATTTTATATATATATATATTTGTCATGCTAAGTAAGTGTGTATCAATTCTTGAGTCTTTTTTAAAGTCAAGAATTGATCTTAAGTTTTATCCAAGGCTTTTTCAGCATCTGTGGAGATGATCATGATTTTTCTCCTTAGAGCTATTAAGTAATTACATTAATGAGTTGAACCAGCCTTGCCTTCCTGGGCTAAATCCCTCTTGATCTTTGTGCATTATTTTCTTATGTGCTGTTGCATTTGGTCTGCTAATATTTTATGTAGAGCTTTTGCATTAGTATTCAAAGGTGGTATTGGCCTATAGTTTTCTTTCTTTTGTTTTTCCTTTTATTTATTTTTTTGTTTATGCATTGGTGTTTTACTTGTTTCATAAAAAGGAAGTTTTCCTAGTTTTCAAAGCCCTGGAACAATTTGTACAACAGAGATTATTTGGTCTTTGAAGCCTTGGATGAATTCCCCTGTGAAACCATCCAGGCATGGTTTTTTTTTTTTTTTTTTTTTTTGGGTGTGTGTGTGTGTGTGTGTGGAGTACTTACTTCTTGATAATTTTCTTTTTTTTTAAATAACTTACTTTTTTTTTAAACTTTATTTCTTATATGAAAATTGGTCTATTTAAACTTTTCATTTCTAATGGAATCAGATTTGGAAATTATCCTTAGCTTATAGATTTTCAAATTTATTTGTTAGAAATGTCTGTAAAATAGTGTCATGACTTTTTAATTTCTCTTGTTTCAATGGTTATTTCACTCTTATTTCTGATTTTGTATGTTTGTGATTTCTTTAAGTTATTTAATGGTATATGTATGTTTTATTTTTCTTCAGCAAACAAGATTTTGGTTTATTAATTAGAACTCTGTTTTTCTATTCATCATCTCATTAATTTCTACTTTTATCATTGTTATTTCTTTCTTTTTACTGTCTTTGGTCTTACCATGTTCTCTTTTCAACTTTTGAGCTGGGAATTTATTTTTATTCTTTCATTTTGTTAATAAAATGTTTATGACTATGAATTTTCTTCTAGTTACTGTTTCATTTCTAGCCCATAAATTCTGATATATAATGTTTTCGTTATCATCTTTAAAAGATTTGTAACTTCTGTTTGTATTTCTCTTCAAAGAGTTGTTTAATAGGAAGTTATTTAATTTCCAGATGAAAGTACTTTTTAATTTTAAAAAATTTGTTAAAAATTTCTAGTTTTATTGCATTATGATTACAGTTTTAGTCATTCTGTTTTATAGAATATACTGATTTTGGGAGGGGACCTAATGATCAGTTTTTGTGAGTGTTTCATAAGCAATTGAGTAGAAGGTATATTCTGTATCATCAGACAGTGAAGTTCAATATGTGACATAAACTACTGATTGTTTAGATCTTCTGTATCCTGTTTTATTTTTTGTTTATTTAATTTATTTTGTACTGAGAGTGAGATGTTAAAACTATTATCAGTGCGCTTCTTTCTGTATTTCCCTGCAAATCTTATAGTTTGATTTCATAAAGGTAGATAGTGTAGTGTGTTATTTGGTGCATAGATATTTATAACAACCATATAGTGAATTGAGACTTGTAGCATCAAAGAGAATCCTTCTTTGTCATAGTTAATCCTTTTTAGCTTTAGTTGTGCTTTGTCTTTTACCCGTGTCCTTGTCCCTGCTTTCATACTGTTTCCACATTCCAGGTACATCTTTTTCCATACCTTCATTTTTAGCTTTTTTGAAACATTTTATTTTTGATATGTCTTTTGTATAGAGCATATACAAAAGTCTTGCTGGGTCTTGCTAGGTGAACTAAATGAAAAGTCTTTTTATTGTCATAGTCAAGTTTAATCTATCTATATTTCTTGATAAAAACATGTCTGGTATCAGGTCTGTCATATTATTTTATGTGGTGACTATTAATGTATATTATGTTATATTTGCTGTTTCTGTATATGATGTATTTTTTGTGTTTTAGAGGTTTTTTTTTTTGCTCTTCTGTTTAAATTTTTTTTAATATTTAGGTAAGTTTTTTGTCTATATTAGGGCTTACCTTTGGTATTTAAAAATTTTTTAATGTCTTTATTTGCCTGTTTTAAAAAATTTAACCATTATCTGACTTGTGAGTTTTTAATGGTATTTTGACTCCTACTTATTGCATATAAAGCAAACAGTGAATTTATTCTACTTTCCTTTTTCCCCCCTTTCCCTTATTCATCAAATTTTGAATTATTTATTTATAATTTGTCATATCTTGCAACATATAACATATATTATTTTTCTACTCTTGTTTTAATGTTAGATATACAACTAAGTATATTAAATATCATCAATCTTTTTGCTGAAATTTCCCCATCATCTCCTAGTTTGATGAAGTTTATCTTCTAGTATTCCTTGAAAAGAGTTGATGTGTTCAGAATTCTCAGGAGCTCTTGCATGTTTAAAACTATTTCTCTATAGCCTTGTTCTTAAAGTGTAGCTCATCTGAATATAAACTCTTCAATTTACATTTCTGAAGTGTTTTGAAAATGCTACCTCATTTTTGCCTCGCTTTTTATATTGTTTTTGAGAACTAATGCCAGCTGGAACATGGGACATAGCTCATTGAGGTTCTGTTTTTATTTTTCTTTTTACCTGTAATTAGAATTTCTTGTGTGTTGGAGGCCTGTGTTTTGTGTGTGTGTGTGTGTGTGTATGTATATATATATATATATATATATATATATATATATATATATATATTTTTTTTTTTTTTAGAGAGAGAGGGAGAGAGAGCAAGTGTGCACATACTACCTGGGGGGAGGGTCAGAGGGAAAGGGAAAGAGAGGGTCTCAAGCAGGCTCTATGCCCAACGTGGAGCCCATCACAGGGCGTAATCCATAATCCTGAGATCATGACCTGAGCCGAAATCCAGAATGAGATACTTAACTGAGCCACCCTGGCACCCCAAGTCTTGTATAGTTTTATTTGTTCTTGTTCTGTATTAGTTTTTGTGAAGATGCTCTAGGAGTTTTGGATTTGCATGGCCACACTGCCTCAACTACTCATAATTCCTCTCTATCTTACTTCTGAGTCAGTAATTGGTATGGCAGAAGCTATATAACTTTGTTCTGTGGAATGTACTATGGAACAGAATAATTTATAACAAAGCCTTGAAAGAATATATTCCCTAACTTAAAAAAAATTATTCAATACAAGCATGAAGATAAACTGGGAAACATAATTACACTGAGGCTTCCAGCTATCAGTTAAAAGGATACCATAACCAGGTACTTTTTTTAAATAGTTTGTATAAAATAGTAAGAACTTGGCATGGGAGCCAAAGAATGGCAACATGGCAGACAGGAAGAAAACCTGGCAGTTGCTTGCCATCCACCCCAAACTTTTCCAAGCTGTAATTGTGAGCTAGATTATTGGCTGGAGGTTTGGGTTATAAATATGGACTTGAAGGCCATTAACTTACTGACAGTTCAGTCCACAACAATGAATAAGCCCAAGGGAGATAAGTTTAGAGAAAGAGAAGCAAAAAACAGGAGAGAATTAATGTTGGAAGAAAGAAGGAAACAGCCCACCTAAAAGAGAGCATGCAGTATGCCACAGAAACTTTAGGAGAGGATTTCAACCAGATGTGGATGGCCAGTGATATGAGATCCTTTGGATGAGCTCAGCAGTATGAAGAGTAGAACTTTCAGTTTTCTCTCTTTACATAGTGTCACTTGTGGGCTCAAAAGAGATTTCTGAATATAGAATCTAGTCCTTGGATTTCAAAGACCTTTCTGGTGTTTGAAACTGATCACTGGAGATTTGACCGAATGAGATGGGGCATTAATCTTTTGATCTCATTTTTAGCGTCCCTAACAA